TGCAGCTGGTCACACACCCTTCAGGGTGGGGGTCCCCACTGGGGTGCCTGGCCAGTCTGGGGAGGGGCTGAGGGCTGTTTTCAGGCTGGCGGGTGACTGAAGCTCCCAACCGCTTTTTTCTTTCTTTTTTTTTATTCTGGGCCAGCTTTAACTCTGGCTCCAGCTCTGAGGCCACTGATGCTGAAAGTAGGTTTCTGGCCCTGTTTACCTTCTCTATTTGAAACAATGTTGCGATCCTGCTCGCTGAAGCCCAGCGACTAAAGCAGGTTTCTTGGGGTTTTTTTAGCTTCTATATTTGTAACATAGTTGCTTAGAGTTGCAGCTCAGAGGCCGGCAGCGGCAGGCGGGGGACGTTGGAGTCCTCCGTCACTGAAGCAAGCAAGCCTCATGTTCGCATCAGCTGCCTGGCTACCGGCCGCCATCTTGGCTGGCAGTAAATTTGCATATCTCGCTGATTAGCCAATCGGAATGGTAGCGGTCATATGCTAATTACCGTGTTTCTCTTTTATTAGATAGGATCGTACTGGAAGTCCTAGTGACAGCAACCACACAAGAAGTAAAAACTAAAAGTTATCCACACTGAAAAGGAAAAAGTAAAACTGTCATCATTTGCATATGACATGATACTATAAAGAACCCTAAACATTTCACCAAAAGACTACTGGAAATGATAAATAAATTCAGTAAAGTAGCAAAATACAAAATAAATATTCAGAAATCAGTTATATTTTTATACATCAATAATGAACTATCAGAGAAGAAAACTAATAAAACAATTCCATTTAGAAGTGCATAAAAAAATACCTTGGAATAAATTTAACCAACAATGTAAAAGACCTGTATTCAGAAAATTATAAGACACTGACAAAAGAAACTGAAGAAGATACAAATATGTGTAAGCATATACCATAATCATAGATAAGAATTAAAATAATTACAATGTCCATGCTATCCAAAGCAGTCTACAGATTCAACACAATTTCTATCAAGATACCAATGGCATATATTTCATAGAATAGAATATTCCAAAAATTTATATGGAACCACAAAAGACCCCAAATAGCCACAGCATTCTTGACAAAGAAGAACAAAGTTGGAGGGATCATACTACCTGTTAGGCCATAGTAATCAAAACAGCATGGTACCGCCATAAAAACAGACATATAAATCAATAGGTCAGAACAGAAAGCCCAGAAATAAACCCATGCCTTTATGGTCAATTAATATTTGACAAAGAAAACAAGAACATACAATGGACAGATATTGTGCAAAAAAATGAAACTAGACCACCTTACACCACACACAAGAATAAATTCAAAATGTAATAAAGACTTACGACTCAAGATCATAAAAATATTAGAAAAAACATAGGTAGTAATATCTCAGACATTTCTCATAACAATATTGTTTCTGATATATGTCCTTGGGCAAGGGAAACAAATGAACAAATAAACAAATGGGACCTCAAACTAAAAAGGTTTTGCAAAACAAGGAAACCATCAACAAAATAAAAAGACAACCCATTGAATCGGAGAACATATTTGCTAATGATACATTTGATAATGATATATTTGATACCAAAATTTATAAAGAACTTATAAACTCAACACCAAAAAAACAAACAATCCAATTAAAAAATGACCAAATAGACACTTCTCGCCCTATCTGGTTTGGCTCAGTGGATAGAGCGTCGGCCTGTGGACTGAAAGGTCCCAGGTTTGATTCCAGTCAAGGGCATGTATCTTGGCTGCGGGCACATCCCTAGTAGGAGGTGTGCAGGAGGCAGCTGATCGATGTTTCTCTCATCGATGTTTCTAACTCTCTATCCCTCTCTCTTCCTCTTTGTAAAAAATTAATAAAATATATTAAAAAAAAAAATAGACACTTCTCCAAAGAGGACATACAAATGACCAACAGACACATGAAAAGATGCTCAGTGTAACTAATCATTGGAGAAATGCAAATTAAAACCATAATGAGAGATTGCCTCACACCTATCAGCATGGCTAACATCAATAAATCAACAAACAATAAGTGTTGGTGAGGATGTGGAGGAAAGGGAACCCCCTTACACTGTTTGTTGGTGGGATTGGTGCAGCCACTGTGGAAAACAGTATGGAGTTTCCTCAAAAAATTAAAAATGGAAGTGCCTTATGACCCAGCAATTCCACTTCTGGGAATATATCCAAAGAAACCCGAAATACTAATTTGAAAAAATATATGCACCCATATGTTCATTGCAGTGCTACTTTTACAAAAGCCAAGACTTGGAAGCAGCCCAAGTGCCCATTAGTAGATGAGTGGATAAGGAATCTGTGGTACATTTACACAATGGAATAAAACCTGGCCTTAAAAAAAGGAGGAAATCTTATATTTTGTGATAGCATGGATGGACCTGGAAAATATTATGCTAAGTGAAATAGCAGAAAGACAAGTACCATATGATTTCACTTATATGTGAAATCTAATAAACATAAGAAACAAAGTAAATGCAGACTCATAGATAAAAGACTGACATCTGTCAGAAGGAACAGAGGTTGGGAGACTAGGGTAAAAAGGTGAAGGGATTAAGCAAAGGAAAAAAACTCAGACACAATTAAAAATATGGTGATTGCCAAAGGGAAAGGGGAGTTGGGAGAAGTAAGAGGATAAAAGGGGGATTAATTGTATTGGAAGAAGACATGACTAGGGATGGTGAACACACAATACAATATACAGATGATGTTCTATAGAATCATATACCTGAAACCTATATAATTTTATTAACCAATGTCACCCCAATAAATTCAATTTTTAAAAAACAGTAGGCCCTCAAAAAAATAAGTAAAAATACATAAGCAAACAACATGAAGATTTATAGAATCATTTATAAAATACCTGTGGGTTACTCCCTCCATTCGAGATATAACACTTGGTGAGTTTTCCTCCATCATCCCAGTCCCAATCATCGTCATCATCATAATCTTCCTCCTCTTCTCCCTCATCTTCTATCTCATCTTCATTCATCTTCTCATTCACATTATTTTGAAAGTCTTCAAACAGATTGCCATCTCCCTCTTTGATTGTCTTCAAGTCAATGTTTTCACTAGAAATAACAATATTTTAGCATATTTAAAGATACTCTAACTAGACTTACATATGTATTTATTCACAACATAATAGACTAAATCTGTAACAAAACCCAAAGGTTCCCTTACAATATATCTACCAATGAACTTAATTTTAGTACCAAGTTCTTCTGTTTTTCAGAGTTCTGTCCCAGTTGTTTGCATATTCTCTAGGCCAGTGATGGCGAACCTATGACACGCGTGTCAGAGGTGACACGTGAACTCATTTTTTTGGTTGATGTTTCTTTGTTAAATGGCATTTAAATATATAAAATAAATATCAAAAATATAAGCCTTTGTTTTACTATAGTTGCAAATATCAAAAAGTTTCTATATGTGACACGGCACCAGACTTAAGTTAGGGTTTTTCAAAATGCTGACATGCCGAGCTCAAAAGGTTCGCCATCACTGCTCTAGGCCCTACTAAAGAAGTACATCAAGTGTTAAACCTACCTCTGCCTAAGTCAGAATTTATATTGCTAACTTCTCTGCTGAAAGAACTGGCTCCAATCAATACTCCTGACTTGACAAGGAAAACTACTTACAGAGCTGCTTTAAGAGACAGTATGAAAACAAAAAGCTTTCTGACAAAACTTGGGAATAAGTCTAAAGCAGCTTTACCTTGAACTCAATAACACTTTGCATCAAAAGCTGTATTCAAGATCTGTGTTACACAAAGAACTTCAAACCACCCTTGTTCATGAAGGGAAGGAATGGTGCATACAAGCACCACAAATAAGAAAGTAGGCTTGATATAATTATATAGAAGAAGGGATTGATGCCCAGCATAAAGAAAGCACAACTAATAGGGTTTGTTTTTGTCATGTGAGAATTCAGACCCAGGGTTACATATCTTCTTAGTTTTTCAAGAGAAACCAGGAATATGGATTTTTGTGTAAAATATCCCACTTAACTGGCAAGTTCAATTTATCAAAACACTGTGCTTATCAAACAAAACATGTCTGCATGTCAGATTTTACAGAGGTGCTACCAGTTTTGACTTCTCAAGTAAAGAATGAGGACAGAAACCATATAAAACAATTGATAATATGCACTACCAGCTTAAAAAGTCAGATGTGAGTTTAAATAAATTCAGATTATCAATTCTGAGTTATTTATTAATCACTAGGAGCCAAGCGCGTGATATTGCACGTTGCCACCTACCCACCTTCAGCCCTGCCTTGGTATCCAAACCTGTTCATGCAGAGCTCCAGCGCACCTGGCCCAGCCCCCAAACCCTCTGGCCTTCTCTGGCTGCTACAAGCTCCAACCTCAGTCCCTCCAGTCGCCTCGGGCTGGTCCCCGCTTCCACCTGTCTCCGGAGTAATGCAATGGATCGGCCCCGTCATGGCGCTGGAGGGGCCTCCCGCCTGCTGAGCTGTGCTCCTTCCCCTGGCAGGTGGGCTGCAGGGCACTCAGAGTGCAAGCAGTGGGCAGTGAAGAATTGGTGAGGGGAGTGCTGTGGGCTCTCACCCCTGCCTTCCCGGGAACAGGATGGGCCTGCCTCCTCTAGGTGCCTCCCCACTTCCGCCCATCTCTGGAGCAACGCCCCAGCTATATGCTAATGATCTGGTCATTACCTATTACAGCGTCCCACTCATTAGCATATTAACTCTATTAGTATAGACTAGAGGCCCAGTGCACAAAATTTATGCACTTGGGGGGGGTCCCTCAGCCTGGCCTGTGCCATCTCACAGTCTGGGACCCCTTGGGGTATGACCACCTCCTGGTTTAGGCCCGCTCCGTGGGGAATTGGGCCTAAGCTGGCAGTCAGACATCCCTCTGGCAGCCCAGGAGCCCTCAGGGGATGTCCACTTGCCAGCGGGGAGCAGGCCTAAGCTGCTGTAGGACATCCTTTGTGCTGCTGAGGAGGCAGGAGAGGGTCCTACCAACAGCTGTGCTGGCAGCCGTCAGCCTGGCTTATGGCTGAGTGGCTGTTTTCAGGCTGCCCGCACCCCTTTTATGGTGGGGGTCCCACTGGGGTGCCTGGCCAGCCTGGATGAGGGGCTGAGGGCTGTTTTCAGGCTGCCTGCACCCCCTTCAGGGTGGGGGTCCCCACTGGTGTGCCTGGCCAGCCTGGGTGAGGAGCTGAGGGCTGTTCTCAGGTGAGCCAAGCCTGCAACTGAAGCCCCAGTCTCTCCTTTTTTGTTTTTGTTTTTTAATTCTGGGATTTATTTAACTTCTGTAATTGAAACTTTGTTGCGGCTCCAGCTCTGAGGCCGGCTGGCTTCAAGCAGGTTTCTGGGGTTTGTTTAGCTTCTATAATTGCAACATTGTTGCATCCGGAGCTCAGAGCTGGGCTGCAGCAGGCGGGGAATTTGGCTTCCTCCATCACTGGAGCAAGCAAGCCTCCTGTTCGCTTCAGCTGCCTGGCTGTCGGCCGCCATCTTGGTTGGCAGTTAATTTGCATATTGTGCTGATTAGCCAATGGGAAGCATAGCAGAGGCATGGTTAATTACCATGTTTGTCTATTATTAGATAGGATGGTTTATAGGGCTCCAAATCTTTATGAAACAAATAGGCATTAAACACCTACTATTTACTAGGATTTCATAAACATAATCCATAAGTTGACCCTTCATTTGCTAATAACCTAAATTGGCATGTTAAAGTTATACCTTCAATAGTACTGGGGCTTCTCAACCTTGGCTGGACAATTCTTTGTTGTGGGAAGTTGTTTTGTGCCTCATAGAACTGTTGGCAGCATCTCCAGCCTCTACCTACCAGCACCATCCCCAGTTGTGACAAACAAAAATGTCTCCAGAAATTGCCAAAGTCACTGGGGGTGGGGAAAGGGAAAGGTGGTGGACAGAATCCATTGGTTAACCTTTACAATATCCAGTGATAGATATTTCCCCTTAACTTCTTCCCTTGGGCCTTTTATATTCTTATGTGTAAACATAAATCTGGAATGTCTTTCTCAATTCTCTGGCTAAATCCTACTTAACCTTACAGCATTAGTTTACTATCACTTGCCTAGGGAAATCTTCCATATTATTCACCCGTTTCTCCTTTGTACCACTTACCCAATTCTAATCCAAATCTTTTGTCTAATTTTTTAAAATACATATTTTTATTGATTTCAGAGAGGAAGGGAGAGAGATAGAAATATCAATGATGAGAATCATTGATCGGCTGCCTCCTATTGGGGATCGAGCCCACAACCCAGGCATGTGCTCTGACCTGGAATCCAACCGTGACTTCCTGGTTCATAGGTCACTGCTCAACCACTGAGCCAGGCTGGACCATCCAATTTGTCTCATTTTTTAATGTTTTCCCTGCTAGAGTGCAATGTTGGTGTCAGAGTAGTTTACACCAATGTATCCCTACCAACTAACACTATATCTGACACATAGAAAGTGATCAACATATACTTACTGAAAAAAATCTATAGTTAAGAAAATTTGCATGCAATGAAGCCTTACTGTAAACATAAAGTAAAAACCATTTTCTTGAAATTATAAAACAGTTTCATCTTGCTTTATGTGAAAGTTATCCTTAATAACTTTTGCTTCATATCCCACATTCAATCTACCACCAAATTGTCATTTCTATCTGTAAAATATCTCTATGACCTTATCTCTGAATGTCCATCATCTCTGAACTAAATTATTTTCATTACTTTTGTACTGCTTCCACTCTCCATTCCAAAATCATCTTCTCCATAGCAAAGTGATTCCTTTAAATCATAAATCAAATTACATCATTCCCCTGCTAGCATCCCTCTATGGCTTTCTAAGCCCTAGAATATCTCAACTCCTTACTATCACTTGTAAGGCTCTACATCAAGCATGTCAAACTCATGACCCGCAGGCTTCATGTGGCCCACAACAAATATTTTTGCAGCCCAGCCAATATAATAGTAAGAAACGTGTTAATTAAAATTTCGTAACTTACTTTTTACCATTTCCTGTTATACATAATTATTAATAATGAACTACAGTAGGTCCTCGGGTTATGTCGGAGATCTGTTCCTACGGCGCGACGTCATGCGATTTTTCCGTAAGTCGGAACCCACCTACATAAGCACCTATGTCACTCACATGGAACACATACACAGCAGTAATGCAGTGAAACAGTAAAAAAAAATTTAAAAGAAAGATAACAATTCCTGACCTTTACTTGTGGTAAACAAATAATAAAAAACATAAAGCACATATGTACATACGTCAAAATGATGAAACTTTTTTTTTATAAATAAATGGGAAATGGCGAGGTAACCACAAAACGACATACATTGAGTCCAAGGTAACCCAAGGACTGTCTGCACAATGTGCACTAATGACTGATTACTATAATCGTGTTGCATTCATTTCCCTTATGCACCTTACATGCAGGAGCACCATTTCTCTCTACTAATACTAACAGCAAATATTTTAGTAGCCGATTGCCATGGCAAAAAGTTCCGTCATTATTTGGTGTGCACACCAGGAAATATTTCACTTTTGGAGAAAAAGAAAAATAGGATTATTTGTATTATGCTTATTAATTTGTGCAGTTATTCAGTGTCTGGTAAGTTAATGTTCAAGAAAAAATGTTGTATTATTTTATGTTAACTAGAGGCCCGATGCACAAAATTCATGTGCTTGCAGTCCGGGAGCACTCGGGGGATGTCCGACCCCCGTTAGCCTGGCTTCTGGCTGAGCAGCGCTCCCCATGTGGGAGCGCACTGACCATCAGTGGGTAGCACCTGCGTTGAGTGTCTGCCCCCTCATGGTCAGTGTATGTCATAGCGAGTGGTTGAGCAGCCTTAGCATATCATTAGCATATTTTGCTTTGATTGGTTGCACAGACAGCTGGACAACCAAACACTTAGCATATTAGGCTTTTATTAAATAGGATTACTCATTTATCTCAGCCCTTTATATTCAGCATGTCTCTATCGAAATAAACCTACGTTTCTATGAAAATTGAAGCTTTTGTTTTTTTGTGGCCCACATAAACTTAAACCTTATTTATTTGGCCCATGTTAGCCTTTGAGTTTGACATGCTTGCTCTCCATCATCTGGCCCCTTTTCACTTCTATATCATTACCTACCAATCTGCTCAACTACCTCTGCTGTGCTCTAAGCACAATGGCCTATCAGTGGTTCTCAACCTCTGGCCCTTTAAATTCAGTTCCTCATTGTTGTGACCAAACCATAAAATTATTTTCGTTGCTACTTCATAACTGTAATGTTGCTACTGTTATGAATCATAATGTAAATATCTGATATGCAGGATGGTCTTAGGCGACCCCTGTGAAAGGGTCGTTCAACCGCCAAAGGGGTCGCGACCCACAGGTTGAGAACCTCTGGCTAGATAGATCTTCCTTTCACAGCCAGGAGGGATCCCACTCTGGGGACTTAGCACTTGCTGTCCCCTCTTCCTGAATGACTGTTGTCTCCCCTTTTCCTGAGGTTAACTCATTCTTGTAGGTCAGATCTGGACTTAACCCCTCCTTGACCAAATCATAACTTAGTCTACAAACTGACTTAAATTGTTTTCATAGTATATATAATTATCTGGTTTTTAAGTAATACCTTTGTACTTAATTGATCCACCTCTCAAGTAGAAGGTAAAATTCAATGACAGGGACTCAGTTTGCCTTGTTCATCACTACCTCCAGCGCTCAGGACAGAACCTGGCACATAGCAGGTGCTCACCTTACTGTCAACATAAAGTAAGAACCGTTTTTAAACGCTGAATGAAGTTACCAGTAAGGCGCAAAAACCTGTTTCCCAATCGCTATGCCCAACTCGGCCTCTCAGCAATGCCAACCAACCTGGGAACCCTGGACTCCCCTGACAAGCGGCTTTCGTGAACTCTGCCATAACCCGGGACGAAGTCAGGGCTGGGATGGAGAAAGACGCGACCGGTTGGGAAGAGAGCCCCAGCGCGATGCACCACCAGCCTCCCTCTACACCAGCGTTAACTCCCTCAAGGCCCGGCGGCGGCAGAGAGAGCAAAACCCCAACAAAGTCGGTGTACTGCACCGCCTTCTACCTGTCGGAGGAGTCCGCGTCGTCGAACTGCCCGGGAACCACCCGACTCATCAGCAGCCGCCGGTAGTCCATGACGGCACGCGCGGGGCGTCAGCGCCACCGGAGGAGCCACACAGACGGCCCGACCTCACGGCCTCTCCGAGGTCGCCTCCTCGCAAACCGCGCAGTAGTCCCGATGCCAGCAGCGCGCCACGTGCTACGAGGATTTAGGATTTACAGACCCGGTACCGCCGCCCCCGGCTCGAACGGAAGCCCCGCCCCTACCGGAAATGTCCTACCGGAAGTCCCGTCCCGCGGCCCACTGAGAGCCTGCGCAAGGAGGTCACACGGAAGTGTCAAGCGGTTCGCCTTCCTCGCTGGGCCGCCATCCTACCTGGAGGCTTTCGTTTCTGTGTGTCTTCCTGTAGAAAGGCGCGCCAGCCAAGCCACAGGCTCGGCCTAGGGGGTTACATCCGCATGACTTCCCAACTCCGGTAACAGACCTTGGTGTCCCCCCAGGCCGGGCCCCCTGTGTCCGGAGCCCGGCGTGCGCCGTTCCCCGCCGGGATTGGCTGGCGTGCGGGGGCGAGCGGACGTCACACTGGAAGGGTTCGTCGCGCTTGCCTCCCGACCGGGAATTCCGTAGGAAAGGTTGGAAAGTGTTCTTCTCCCTCCCGCAAAACCGGTGCGGGGGGGTGGAAGCACGAGATCCTTATTGTGGGTAAAAGAAACTGCATGGACCCTGGAAGTGAGCACGCTTTTGCGATTCAAAGAGTTTGGCGCGTTGTTTTGAGGTGAAAAGTGAGAAGTGCTTGTAGAAAGCTCGTTTGTCATAACGGCTGAAAAGAATTTAAGAACAACACCTTAGAGTTTTGACTAGTAACTCCACTGACACCTCTTTTTTATTTTTATTTTTTTCCTGCATTACTCTGTTTATTTCGTGCGGATCCCGCCCCCTCGGTCTCCGCGGCGCTCGCTAAGAGGCTGGGCGGGGTGGTTGCGGGGTCGGGGCGCCGGAGAGGCGGGGCGCGGACCCGAGAGCAGACGCCCCAGCGGCCACCCCCTCACTTTCTTCCCTCGAGATCCAGTGACACCTCTTTTGACGCCGGTCTTAAAACAGCTTTAGAATATCTCTGGACACATTTGAATAAATACTTTAAAAGTTTAACGTACATCCGGTAAGGTCGGAATGCAAGATGGTAAAAGTAAGCCTAACAAAATAAATCGGCAGATTGTGCCCTATGAACAAAGGTGTAAACGTGTAATTGGAAGTTCTAGGTTCCCAAATTTAAGAGAGAAGGCTCTTGCAGTTTTTGCATTTGGAAATTAAACGATTTTTCAAACTCCCTTCACCACAACCTAGGTAATACTTATGTGTTTGGAAATAGGGAAAAATTGAGCATAAAGTTGAACCATTCACCAATCCTGACTAGTCTGCTAGGCTCGGTGGCTTTTTTATCCTTAACCAAAGGATGACATAAGTTTGAAAAATATAAATCCTCAGTAAATTATTTATTAACTTGATAATTCAACAAAGTAATCCAGGCAAATGGTAGTGACTGTAGATTGGGAAGGTTAATAGAAATAAATAATTGGAATGCTGGGTTAAATTAATATTTATCCTGGACAACACTGGTCCATTTGCTATAGGGAGTATTGTAGAACCCTAAATGGACTCTTCTAGAAGTATGTGTAATCTGTGAATATAAACACTAACACGCTTGAAACCATTGTTAAGACTAAAACAGTAAAACGAATAGGTATTTAATTATGAGAGATTTAGACTAAAGATTTTAGGAATTTAAAAAATAGATGAATGGTTAGATAGGAAAGTTTAGGAGAGAAACGCTTGCAAGGTCAGACTACTGAAGTGGTAAGGAGCATGACTTATTTGCAGGGAAGTGAACTTGATCCTACTAGAGCAGGGGAGTATTGGCTAGGTAAAGTGGGTTCAGGCTATGGAAAACCTAGAAAATCAAGCAGAAGAATTTGAAGTCACTGTGATTGGACATCTTTTCCATCCCCACCCCCTAACAGACCTGAGGAATTAGAAGAATATGGACCAGAGTAATGATCTAAGGGATGGAAAGAAAGCATGGGTTATGAAGATCATTTTTAGAGGATAAATGGACAGGACTTGGACAGTGAGGTAGAAGGATGCCAAGTTTTCAAACCCCAAGTGCCTGAGGGAACATTGATTTACAATGTTGGATTTGACGATAAAGAAATATTCAAATAGCAATTATTAAATAGAAATGCAGTCAGTGTTTGGTGGAACCTAATAGGTCTCTGATAATATTTTCTGAATATCTTTTTATTAAATAACTTAGAGATCCCTTCACCTTCTGGGTCGCAAGTCTTTTTAGTAATTTTATTTTGTCCAAATTATTTACTACCATACAAAGTTACCATGGTATGGTATACTCGCACTAAAATTCTTTATTTTTTCAATAACTTGGCAAATGACATTTTAAAATTTCGGGCAGTGAACTTTATTGCTTTCTTACTGTGCAAAGGGAGGGGGGAAGTTTTTTGTTTGCATATGCTAAAAGACCTTAAAATTATGTGTTTTTTTAAAGAAGCCTTCCATCATTCAACAGTTAGGAACAAGAAATATCAAAAAATTTGGTGATCACCTTCAGATCCTGTATATTTTGACATGGATGTTTCTCATGAAAAATTAGAAAGCATGTCAGAAGTGGATGCCATGAATTTCACCAGTCTTTCTCAAGATTTAACTCACTCAAATTCTCCCTCCTGTATGGAAACCAGCAATACGACTTCAGACTTGTCTCAGGTGTGCAATTGCTTATGAGGTCTGGGAGATACAGATGCATTTAACATTCACATTGTGTTCCATATGAACATTTAAAAAAAATATATGAGGAACAGCCTTAGCTGGCTTGGCTCAGTGGGTAGAGCATCAGGCTGTGGACAGAAAGATCCTGGGTTTGATTCCAGGCATTTACCACGGTTGCAGGCTCAAGCCCGGGCGGCTCATGCAGGAGGCAACCAATAGACTGCCTCTCTCACATTGATGTTTCTTTTTCTCTGTCTTCCTCCTTCCCTTCCACTCTTTCTAAAAATCAATGGAAAAATAGCCTCAACAAATATACAAAGAACACTAAAGGAATCTCCAGTGGAGGCATAGAAGAGAGGAATATTGGAACTGGCTTTCAAGAAAGGTAGAACTTGCCGAACCGGTTTGGCTCAGTGGATAGAGCATCGGCCTGCGGACTGAAGGGTCCCAGGTTCGATTCCAGTCAAGGGCATGTATCTTGGTTGCGGGCACATCCCCACTGGGGAGCATGCAGGAGGCAACTGATCAATCTCTCTCATCGATGTTTCTAACTCTATATCACTCTCCCTTCTTCTCTGTAAAAAGTCAATAAAATATATTAAAAACAGGCAATATTTATTAAAAAAAAAAAAAAAGAAAAGAAAGGTAGAACTTTACAAACTGTTAAAACTGATCCTTTCTAGTCTCTTCAGGAAGTCCCATGAGTATACCAGAAGACATAGCCACAACAACTCAGTAAGAGTCAGAACAAGAACACAAGGAGCCTGACATCTGGTCTATTTTCATTTTGGAAAAAATTTGGTCATAGTATTATGGTGTTAATTTGGAATAAGTTGCTGAGCAGTGAATTGTAAAGAATGAATGTTTTAAATTAATTATATAAGGAAGTCCTCCCTCTTGTTTTTTATAGAAAATTTATAGACCAAAGGCTTAGTTTAGCTAAAAACAGTAATATTGTGTAAGACAAGAATTAGAGCCCTAACCGGTTTGGCTCAGTGGATAGAGCATCGTCCTGCGGACTGAAGGGTCCCAGGTTCGATTCCAGTCAAGGGCATGTACCTTGGTTGCGGGCACATCCCCAGTAGGGAGTGTGCAGGAGGCAACTGATCGATGTTTCTCTCTCATTGATGTTTCTAACTCTTGATCCCTCTCCCTTCCTCCCTGTAAAAAATCAATAAAATATATATTTTTAAAAGAATTAGAAGTGATCTTTGAAATTCAATGAGTAATAGAGTACCAAGAAGTTTGTATGAATATAACATCAATACATGTGAATATTGCTATTTTATTTTTCAAGTATATTATTCCTGATACTTTAAAAATCTAATTAGAAGGAATGATCTGAATTAGCAACAAGAAAAAAAAAACCAGATAGTTATATAATTCAGTTTTTATTGTACTTCAGATACATTCAATAAGTGGAACGATGCTATAAAAAGCATATTGAATAGAGATTTGTAACCAGCTAACTTTATAAGAGAGAAGAACTTTTTTAGAACATCATTTAGATCCACATACTTGATATACTAACAAAAATTACATAGCAATGTACATATACCTTTAGGAGAGGCCAATGGTATTTGAAGTATTCATAATGCCTTTTTTATTAATACAGAATGAAGTAAAGAATGTAAAAAAGGAAAATGAGTCTAAAATCACACTTTCTGAAGAAATTTATAGCACACTAGATGATGTGTTAGGTGGTGAGTATCTCTTTGTTGGCAATATACAAACAGAAACTAAGATTTTTTGTGTGTCCTGTGATGATGATAATAAGAGCTAAGTACTGTGCTAAGCATTTTATATACATTATCACATTTATAAACAAGCCTATGGAATAGGACTTTTACTTTGTAAATAAGGGCTGTTTTTATCTTCATTTTAAAGATGAGGCTCAGAGAGTAACACAAGAAAAACAAACCATAATACATTTGACTATATTAAATTTTTTTAAATTTGTGTGTCCAAATTATAATCAACAAAGCAAAAAAGCCACAGTCTAAGGTACCTGTAATCTATACAATTGACAGAGGATTAGTATCTACAATAAAGAACTCCAATAAGAAAAAGACACATATAACTCAATTTAAAAAACAATAACAACAACAACAACAAAAACAGGCAATGTATATGTAGAGCTACCATAATGAAATACCACAGACTGGGTGGCTTTAGCAATTCAAATTTATATTCTCACAGTTCTAGAGCAGTGGTTCTCAACCTTCTGGCCCTTTAAATACAGTTCCTCATGTTGTGACCCAACCATAAAATCATTTTCGTTGCTACTTCATAACTGTAATGTTGCTACTATTACAAATCATGTAAATATGTGATATGCAGGATGGTCTTAGGCGACCCCTGTGAAAGGATTGTTCTACCGCCAAAGGGGTCGCGACCCACAGGTTGAGAACCGCTGTTCTAGAGGCTGGAAGTCCAAGATCAAGGTCCTGCAGAGTAGGTTTCTCCTGAGGCCTCTCAGTTGGCCATCTCAGTTGTCCTCACATGGCCTTTACTTCTGTGCCTCCCTGGTATCTCCTCTTTTTATAAGGACACCAGTTATATTGTAGTAGAGCCCCACCCTTATGACCTCTTCTATCATTAATTACCTCCTTAAAGGCCCTATCTCTAACTAATATGACATTATAAAATACTGGGATTAAGTCTTCAACATGTGAATTTTGAGGAAACGATTTAGATCACAGAAAAAGGAACCTGCAAGACCTTTAATAGCTAAAAATATGTGCATTAAAAAGCCCACAAAATGCCATTTCATATGTATCAGTATGACATATTGGAGAGATATAGAGAAGGAATTTCTATGTTCTGGTAGAAGTATAAATAACATTTTAGAGAATAAATGTGCAATATCTAGTAAAGTTGAAGATATATTTTTTCTATAATATATTTCTTAAAAGGCTTGAAAAGTTTATTTCATAAATGTTAATATAACTGTTAACACATAAATTTATGGTCAGCTAATTATTATTTTCTTTTACCTCTTCCTAATGAGATGTCAACAGTGGAAATTATTCACAGGATATGCTAACTCGGCCAATTGACACCAGCATTTCTTCCTTCAGACAATGTGAACCCATTTTCAATTATCATCAGACGAAGGCATTTAATGATAAAATGCTAACATTTCAAAATCTGATAGGCAACTTACCTTACACAGAGAAGCCAGAATTGCAAAGTCATGTATATAATTATGCAAAAGACAACAATATTAAGGAAGATTCATTTAAAGAAGAAAATCCAGTGGGAACTAGTACTTCCACAAATGAAGACCAACTTTCTCATGAATGTGAGTGGCAACCTCCTAGAAGCCCATCTGAAATCCCCTGCAGTAGGGACACCCTGAAATTCATGGAAATGCCACTAGCTGAAAATACTGCCAAAGAATCTACCCTCAACTCTGGTCAACCTGAAAACTTCTTGTGTAAGGAATATTTATACAACAATGTTGAAAAACCATTTTATCAAGAGAATAGCTTTAACCTGTATGATCTGAGAGCTGATTATGAAACAAAGGAGGTAAGATGATTTTTCTCCTTCCTTCCTTTTTCTTATTTCCTTCCTTCCTTCCTTCCTTCCTTTCTTCCTTCCTTCCTTCCTTCCTTTCTCCCTTCATTCCTTTCTTTCTCTACACCCCAGTGACCAGACATTATATAACTTAATATATGATTATCCCAATTCATCCCACACCTATCCGGCACCACTCCTAGTTATTAGGATATTATTGACTATATTCCCTATGCTGTACTTTACACCCCCATGACTATTTTTTATTGCCATTTTATTGTTCATATTTTTTTCTTCTTCTTCTTTTTTAAAAATATATTTTATTGATTTTTCCACAGAGAGGAGGGGAGAGGTATAGAGAGTTAGAAACATCGATGAGAGAGAAATATCGATCAGCAACCTCCTGCACGCCCCCCACTGGGGATATGCCCGCAACCAAGGTACATGCCCTTGACTGGAATCGAACCTGGGCCCCTTGAGTATGCAGGCCGACGCTCTATCCACTGAACCAAACCAATTAGGGCCTTTTCTTCTTCTTAAATAAGACTCCATTTCATATAATACTGGTTTGATGGTAATGAACTCCTTTAGCTTTTTCTTGTCTGTAAAACTCTTTATCTTCAATTATAAATTGCTAGAAGCCCAGTGCACAAAATTTGTGCACAGGTAGGGTCCTTAGCAGCTGCTGGCTGCTGGCTGGGGCCTTCCTTCATTCCACACCACTGCCTGGTGGTCAGCGCACATCATAGTAAGCAATCGAACTCCCAGTCGGTCAAACTCCCAAGGGGACACTTTGCATATTAGGCTTTTATATATATAGGCTAGAGGCCCAGTGCATGAAATTCATGCAAGGGGGAAGGGGCATCCCTCAACCCGGCCTGCATCCTCTTACAATCTGGGACCCCTTGGGGGATGTCCGGCCTAAACTGGCAGTAGGACATCCCTCTCACAATCTGGGATGCTGCATGCACCAGTGACCATACTTTTCATACAGGTGAAAGGCATCTTGCTGTTGTATGGGCAGTTAAATTTTTTTGCCCTGATTATGAAAAGTAGTACATAACATGATCCTTCTGAGGCAGTAGTATCATTTCCCCCCTCTTTTGGGTGGAAAAACTGAAGCAGAGAAAAGTTAAGTAATTGGCTTTGTCACATAGTTATAAGTGTCAGAATCAGGGCTGACCACAAAATGTGCAAGCCAGAGTCCATGCATGTCATCACTGCATCCTGTTTTTTCAGTGTTAGAGTGGCCTTGCCAGGTTTTAATGTTTAAATATAAGAGACTGTTCCCAATATATAGGGTAAGGTCCCTAGGCCTGGCTGGAGATCAGGGCCATCTGTGGGGCAACCAGCAGGCAGGGCATTCAGGGGGGCCTCTCTGGTACCTGCCTTGGCTGGCAGTCTGGTGCTGCCCACTGGCCGACCCTGCCCCCCAATTGCCGCCACCAGTTGCCTCCTTCTCAGGGGGCAGGAGCTGCCCCAGTTGGGGCAGTGCGCGTCATAGCGACCGGTCATTCCACCAGTCATACCGCTCTTTATTTGATTTGCATATTAGGGTTTTATTATATAGGATAGCTTTGCAGAGTAAAGTAATCTTGGTTGTAGGTGCTTGCTTTTCATTACTTTCAATATTTCTTCCAATCCCTTATGACCTGCAAAGTTTCTGTTAAGAAATCAGCTGACAGTCATGGGAGCTCCCTTGTAGGTAACTAACTGCTTTTCTTTTGCTGCTTTTAAGATTCTCTGTTTGTCTTTAACATGTTAAGCGCCTAGCCTGTTTTGTCTTCTGGACAGAAAGTATAGTGTCAGTCACCGGTGACTGACATGGGGTTTAGCATGTTAACCATTTGCATTTTAATTATAATGTGTCCTGGTGTGGACCTTTTTGGATTCATCTTTTTTGGGACTCTCTGCACTTCCTGGACTTGTATGTCTCTTTCCTTCAACAAGTTAAGGGAGTTTACTGTCATTACTTTTTCCAAATAAGTTTTGAATTTCTTGCTCTCTTTGTTTTCCTTCCGGTACTCCCATGATGTGAATATTGGTACACTTGAAGTTGTTCCAGAGGTTTCTTACTCTAGCCTTATTTTTTGGATTCCATTTTCTTTATTTTTCTGTTCTGATTGGGTATTTTTTGCTTCCTTATATTCCAAGTCACTGATTTGATTCTCAGCTTCATCTATTTTACTGTTGATTCCCTGTAAGTTATTCTTTATTTCAGTTAGTATAGCCTTCATTTCTAACCAGTTCTTTTTTATGTTGTTGAGGTCCTCTCTTAAGTTCCTTGAGCATCCTTATAACCAGTGTTTTGAACTCTGCATCCAATAGATTGCTTATCTCCATTTTGTTTAGTTCTTTTTCTGGAATTTTTTTCTGTTGTTTCATTTGAGCCATGTTTCTTTGTCTCCTCATTTTGGCTACCTCCCTGTGTTTGTTTCTATTTATTAGGTAGAGCTACTATGTCTCCAAGGCTTGGTAGTGTGGCCTAATGCAGTAGGTCTCCTGTAGGGTCAAGTGGCATAGCCTCCCCAATCACCCCAGCTGGGCACTCGAAGTGTACCACCCCCCCCTCGCCATATGAGCTGTACACCCTCATGTTTTAAGTTGAGTTTTGATTGCTGTTGGCACATCAATGGGAGGGACTGACCCAGACCAATCTGCTGCAAGGATTGGCCATGACCACTGACCACCAACCTCCATCCACCTTGGAGGATCAACTGCAGGGACCTACCCCATAGAGCATGACTTACTTCAGCAAGGCTCTGGTACCCACTGAGTCCACCCCTGAGTGCTTCACTTATGGAAGTGGTTGTATGCTGGTGCTACGATGTGGTCTGAAGCTATCCACTGGGTGTGCTGGCTCTGGGGCCTTCTGGAAGGTGCAGGCTATGTTCAGCCACTACCTGTGTTCTGCCCAGGTCCACTAGGTATAAACTACAAAGCAATCTGCAGATGGCTGCTTCTTGTGCTTGGCTTGGAGATGCCCAGGGGAGGCTACACTATGAATCAAGGCTGGCTACTACAAGTGCGGGGCCTGGGGCTGTTTAGCTAAAGGTATGGGACCTGCTGAGGCCAGATGATGCTTGTTTGACAGATTTTATGAAAATCTGAAGCATGAGCCAGGGCAGGCCATTCCTATGATAAAGCCACTGGAAATAGCTTGGGTGGGCCCAAAAGTTGGGTGGGGCAGAGCCTCAGGGAAACAGCAGGTTGGACCAAACAGTGTGAGCCAAGTTGATGGAGTCTCGGATATGGCACCTGTCTGCTGGCTTTGTGGGGCAAAGGGGCTCATCAAAGGAACAATGGCTTCTGCCAGTACTTCTATCTGGGAGAAAGTTGCCCCTCCAGATCTCGCCTAGATGCCAAACGATTCAGTCCCTCCCATGTGTCTCTGGTGCCTTTCAAACTGCTGTCCCTGTGCTGGAGCTCAGAGGGAGAGAGTCCGAGTAACTCTATGTGTGGGCCCTTTCAAAGGAACTGCCTAGGGCAGCCGTGGGCAAACTACAGCCCACGGGCTGGATCTGGCCCATTTGAAATTAATAAAACTAAAAAAAAAAAAAAAAGACTGTACCCTTTTATGTAATGATGTTTACTTTGAATTTATATTAGTTCACACAAACACTCCATCCATGCTTATGTTCCGGCCCTCTGGTCCAGTTTAAGAACCCATTGTGGCCCTCGAGTCAAAACGTTTGCCCACCCCTGGCCTAGGGCTCCAGCAGCCTGACCCTCGCTCAGCCTCAATTTCCACTGGTTTTTATATCCAGAAGTTATGGGGACTTCTCCTCCTGGGACTGGAACCCTGGGCTTGGGGGTGGGGTGGCAGGGCGGTCTGGTGTGGGACTGGGATCCCTTGCTCCTCAGGAGAACCTTCATAGCCTAGGTCTTCCTCCTGATTTTTATCCATCACACATGGGGTTGGGACTAGCCTATTCTGCAACTCTGTCCTTTCTACCAGTCTCATATGGCTTCTTCTTTAATTTCGTAGATGTAAAACTTGCATTCAGCTTGATTTAAGAGCGTTCTGAATGATAGTTGTTCTGTAGTTTAGTTGTAATTTTGATGTTGTTGTGGGAGGAGGTGAGCACCATGTTTAACTATGCCACCATTTTGACAGAAGTCTCAGGAGGTATATTTTTGTGGTCAGTACAGCATGTAGAGTATTGAAAGATATCTTGTTGTTTTTTAAAGTATATTATCTGAACCCAGCTGGCGTGGCTCAGTGGTTGAGCATCGACCTGTGAACCAGGAGGTCGGGTTCGATTCCCGGTCAGGGCACATGCCTGGGTTGCGGGCTCGATCCCCAGTGTGGGGCATGCAGGAGGCAGCCAATCAATGATTATCTCTCATCATTGATGTTTCTATCTCTCTCTCCATCTCCCTTCTTCTCTGAAATCAATAAAAAAAAAAAAGGTATATTATCTGAGACTTTTCCAAGTGGTAATCAGCATAAAAGACATTACTTCTCTGGGGAAAATGCCTTCCTAGATCTTGAACAAGTCAAAGCAAATTTTTCTAATAAAATTAAGTCCTTACTTGGAACTTAGCTCTACCAAATGATAGTTTCTTTGAGGATCAAGGTTCTGTTCTACTTCTTTTATGCATGTTAGCATCTATATGGTGCCTTGACAATAATAAGCTTTCATATTTGGTGAATTAAATTAGCTAGAACTTAGTTTAAGAAAAAAGTTGCAAAGAGCAAGAAATACTAAATTATTTGACAAGGAAAGCTTAAAATTTTTTTCTTCTTTTTTTTCTTTATTTAAATTAAATCTTTATTGTTCAGATTATTACATTTGTTCCTCTTTTTTCCCCCCATAACTCTCCTCCCAATTCCCACCCCAGCCTCCGCCCTCACTCCCCACCCACTGTCCTTATCCATAGGTGCATGATTTTTATCCAGTCTCTTTCTGCATCTCCCACATCCCTTTCCCCCCCAAGATTAGTCAGTTCATTCCCTTTCTATGTCCCTGATTCTATTATAATCACCAGTTCATTCTGTTGATCAGATTATTCATGCACTTGATTCTTAGATTCACTTGTTGATAGATGCATATTTGTTGTTCATAATTTGTATCTTCACCTTTTTCTTCTTCTTCCTCTTCTTATAGGATACCTCTCAGC